GTGTGTGTGTGTGTGTGTGTGTGTGTGTGTGTGTGTGTGTGTGTGTGTGTGTGTGTGTGTGTGTGTGTGTGTGTGTGTGTGTGTGTGTGTGTGTGTGTGTGTGTGTTGTGGTCTGTTGTTGTCGTTGAAGTTTGCGCGCCAGCGTCCTTACTGAAATTCTTCAATATTTTCCACTACAATTCGACCAACCAGTCCACAAGCAGTCCAAATGCAAACACCACCACACATGCACCACTGATGTGTCAACGCTTCTTGCTCTTCTTTGCGGCTGTGGATGGGGCTGGCTGCTTGGTACGCTTTGCTTCCAACCTCTTCTCCTTCCTGTCACGTGCGAGCAAGACGATGCCAATGGGTCCACAAGCAAGCAACCATGCCAAATGAGACGAAGAACGAAGCATGGAATACTTTGTGTGATCACACACACACACAGACAAATACACACACACACACACACACAGACAAATACACACACACACACACAGACACACACAGGCACACACACACACACACAGACACACACACACAGACACACACACAGACACACACACAGACACACACACACACACGCACACACACAACCCGCTCCCCCACCCCGAATGCACAGAGACGCTCACCGTGCAAAGTAGAGGTCTGAGGTGGAGGCGTTATCATGGAAGAGTTCCGTCAAGTCGAGGACCGGTTGTGCAAGCTCCAGCGATGCCGGCATCAGCTCATCTGTGACAACACGCGGTTGTGCCGCAGTGTCGTTTGTCACCTCCACCATCACCAGCGCCTGCCGCCCACCATCGCGCTCAACCACACACCTGTGCATGTGCATGTATGTGTATGTGTGTGTTGGGGGGAGGGGGGATAACGATGTGAGTGAGAACGTGAGACACGAGCAGGAGGAGCAAGGGTCTGTGCGCCACGTCAACTCACTACAGCACGCTGCAAGCATTCTCCCCATTGCCCACCACACCACGGCGACTGACCAAAGGTGTGCGGCTGATGCGGCGGACGGGGTTGCGGCATCGCACCAGCACGACGAGATGTGTCCACCAACAGCGAGATTTGCCGTGGCCGTCACTGCTGTCAGGTCCGCGGTCATCGTCCACACGTGCACGACAGGCGACCTGTGTATGCGTGCATGTTGTATGCGTGCATGGTGTGTGTGTTGTGTGTGTGAGTGTGTGTGAGTGGCTTGAAAGGTGAACTGGAAGTGCACGTGAGGTGACAGCGTACACCCGCGCATGTATGCATACGCAGCTCGCACAAGCCAAGCTCCTCCTAATCATCATCATCATCATCATCATCATCGCACTTGTTGAGAATGAAGATGAGGACTTGGCGCGCGACGAGGAAGAGCGATGTCGGAACAACGGATTCGCGGTCCGCCTTCGCCAGCGACAGCACTTCACAGATGTTCTAATGGGCAGCGAACAACAGTGGTGGAGATGATGGTGATGGTGGTGGGGTCGCGTGAGCGGTGACAACCGTGATGGCGGTGATGATGATGGTGGTGGTGATGGCGGTGGTGCATGCTCATGTCCCTCCCCCCCCACACACAAACGCACGTGTGATGCAAGCTGCGAGCCGTCTGCTGCGTTCCACACGCGAATTGTGCCGTCTCCAGAGCCCGACACAACACAGTCTGTGCATGTGCATGTAGTGCATGTATGTGCATGTGTGTACGGGAATATGCAGGTGTATGTATGTGTGAGTATGTACATGGGTGTGAATAGGTGTAAAGTGTAGAGACGAGAGGAGGTGTGGAGTGCGTGCACATTCCTCACAGAGACAGCAGCTATCTGCACAGCGCTGCTCGTGGCATGTTTGCGCAAGAGGAGCAGTGAGCAAGAAATGGAATGGAACCACCATACCGCCCTCTCGCTTGCGGTCGCACTCGCACACGTACCCGCAGTTCCTGTGATGGCAGACACAAACCTGCAGCAGCAGAAGCAAAGCAAAATATTGAATGAGAGGTAATGTTGTCAATGCACAAGGCGCAGTGTTTCCCTTCACACGCACACAGCCACACACACACACACACACACACACACACACACACACACACACACACACACACACACACAGACACACAGGCACACACACACACACACACACAGACAGACACACCCACACACAATCAGAGCCGCTGACTGACTCTGTGTGGCCGAGACAAAACGCGTCGATGCAGAAGGCGTCGGGGAGACGCGAGATTCTGATCTTTCCATCGCGGTCTGCCGTCCGCAGCTGATCCGCTTGCACATCCTGGCACACGTGCGCGCGCAAGAGAGAGAGAGAAGAGCGTGAACATTTGGAGGGGGGGGGGGAGGAGCGAGAGACGAGTGACGTGTTGAAGGAGAATTTGAAACCTTCGGATGGATAGAGACACAACAGACAGAGCACAAGAGTCACATGTCACATGTATTACGCAAACATCACACACACACACACACACACACACACACACACACACACACACACACACAAAACACACACCAGGTCGAGGAGCATGGAGACGTGGCCGCAGATGGGATCGGATGTCTTGGACGCATCGGCACCTTCGTCTTCCGCGTCCTCACTACTTGTTGCAAAGGAGAACCTGGACGGAGGTAAGGTGTGGGCCCAAAAGCACACAGACAAAGCAAGGCAGTGAGGGTAGATGGAGATCGTGGTGGGTACTGAAGGGAGGTGAAGGAGGCAGGGACTGATCGTTCGAGGGGGGTGACGTGTTCACACAGGGCCCCAAAGCTAATTGACGTTCACACACAGACACAGACACAGACACAGTCACAGACACAGTCACACAGACGTGAACCCAATGGCGTACTTGTGCACGTCGCCAAACTTGTCGGCTGACAACAGGGTATCCAGGGAAGAGAAGACGAGCTTGGTTGACCGTTTCTCCACACGCCTGTCGAAATCAAGGGAAGGGGTGGACGTGGAATGCAGTCTGGCGTGAGTGCACACACACACACACACACACACACACACACACACACACACACACACACACACACACACACACACACACACACACACACACACTTGTTGGTGGCTCAGTTCAACGCGCAAGGGAGCGGGAGCAAGAAGCGACAGTGCTCACGTTTGTTGCGTTGTGGTGATCTTGATGGTGGCTCCAAACTGCTGCACTTCACAAATGTACAACTTCATGTGTTGTTTCCCGGGCGAATCAGGCCGCCACAATATACGTTAGCTGCGAGTCGGCACACACGGGCAAGGGTGCCAAGCCACCACAAAACCCCACCACTAGTGCCAAGACACGAGCAAGACCACCCCGTTGCACGCACACACAAACACACACACACACACACACACACCACACACACACATACACACAAACAAACACACACACACACAGACACACACAGACACACACACACACACACAGACACACACAGACACACACACACACACAGACACTCCCCCAACACACACACACACACACACACACCGTCTTCTTTGCGGTTGTCACTGCAAGGAGCACTGAGCCAGTGGCTGGCTTCGACTTGACAGTGGCGGCCGTGGGCACATCGTCAATGGCAAGCTGCCCCATCGCAGCAGCGCGTGTGCCCTTTGCACCCTCGGTACCCTCCAAAGCCGCGTTCAGCTGGGCACCAACAGCATCATCTGGGACGACAATCACTTTGCTTGGGGTTGTCAGGAACAACAGTCCCCCACACTGCATGACAGAACACATGGCTGTTTGGTTGGCCAGCCAGGCAAAACACAAGAAGAAGCGTTGTGTGTGCGCTTGCTGCCTTTCCGTGCCTTGAATTTACGAAAATTCTTATAAATCATTCATTAATCGTCAACAACCTCGTGGGTGCAGAGCAGAGCAGGCAACGAGCGAGCAAGACCGCATCAGACTTCACCTTGTTTCCATACCCCCTCCCAAACCCAACAGCAGCAGTCACAGCGACGATGGCGAGCCAAATTGATACCATGGCCAGCGAGGTCGAGCTGGAGGCAATCACAGACCTGTTTCAGAAGTGAGTCAATGTTGCGTGTGCCTTGCCCTGTCGAGGGAGTGGAATGACATCGGCATGGTTGTTGGATGATGATGATCGGTGGTGACATGTGTCGGAGATGGAGTGGTGTCTTGTTTCTGACGTGATAATATGTGGTGGTCGACCAAGCCTCTTTCAAGTTCACTCCCTGTGTCGTTCTCAGTCACGCTTCTCACATTTGACACTGCGCTCACGTGACTTGCGCGTACCCACGTGTGTCCACAGGCTCATTCAGTCTTGCCAGCAGAAGTGCATCGCGCAGAACTACAAGGACGATCAGTTGACAAAGGGCGAGCTCGTCTGCATCGACCGCTGTGTTGCAAAGTTCCTTGAGGTACGCAAATGTTTTTGTGCGTGTGTGCGTGTGCGTGTGCGTGTGCGTGTGCATGTGCATGTGCATGTGCGTGTGCATGTGCATGTGCATGTGCGTGTGTTGCTCGTGGTTGTGCACGAGTCTGCGTGTGTGCGTGTGCGTGTGCGTGTGCGCGTGTGCGTGTGCGTGTGCGTGTGTTTCTCTTGGTTGTGCACGAGTCTGCGTGTGTGTGGTTGATGGTGCGCTTGGTTGTGCACCAGTCTGTGCACGCTAGTGTGTCCTTGTGGCGCACAACACATTGTTGTCTGCATGTCTCTGCGTCCACGCCTTTCTCACTGCGAGCCTTGACTCCACTTACCCTCCACTCTCCCCCCTTCCCAACTCTTTGCGGTTCCCAACATCAGGTCCATGACATTGTCGGCAAGAAGATGAACGACGCGAATACGCCGCAACAATAAATGTAACCAATCAACTGCAGCCACCCCCCCCCTGCTCTACCTTTCTTTTCACACTCTCGGCCCTGACCTCTTTCTCTCCGTCCCTTTCTTCAGCTTAGACACGCCAGGTTGACAGTTGCGTGGTGTTTCTGTGTCGCTCTTCTTGGGTGTCAAGCCATCCTTGATGTCTATGTTCATGTGAGCGTGTGTGTGTACTGTCTGCAGCCGTGTTGGCTCTGTTATCAGGCTGTTCCCTTGTGCAAGCCTCCGCTAATCCAAATACATTGTGTATCCACGTGAGCGCTTGCCAACAATGCAGCGATAACACGAACCAACCATTGCAAGCAACGTCAACAACAAAGAGCCAAAGAGCCAAAGGCACTGTAACGTGTAACAAGCAAACGAGCGAGCGAGCGAGCAAGCATTGTGTATCCACAGCGTAACGAGGGTGATGAACGTGGTGAACGGAGTGTACATGATGAACGCGAGACAGCACCACGATAACTTAGTGTCGCATGTGATTGTGTGTGTGTGTGCGTGTGCGTGTACGTGTGTGATTGTACACACACGTGTGTGTGTGTGTGTGTGTGTGTGTGTGTGTGTGTGTGTGTGTGTGTGTGTGTGTGTGTGTGTGTGTGTGTGTGTGTGTGTGTGTGTGCGTGTGTGTGTGTGTGG